TAACCCGTTTTTTTAACCATTGTGTTGACGATGTCGAAAAGGCTCCTCTGAGCGTCAGCGTGGTCCCTGCAGCTGAGTGAGAGGCGCGTGTTCGTCGTGAATCGTTGACTGGTCGTCGGGGTCGTACGTCGAATGGCGATGAGATGACGCTGGCCGTTCCAAAAGACTATATGACGAAAATCGGGTCGAGATGTAGTTGTTTTGGCCCGAAGGTTTTTAATGTCGGAGTCTGAATGTTGAAAATTGTAGAGATTGTTGCTGACTGTAGTTGAAAATGAGCGGCGAAATTTGATGAGCTGAGAAGTTGAGATTTTTATTGTCGCAAGGTATTGATGGGTTGAAATTTGGTTGTGTATAGTTCGGTAGGGGGAAAGAAAAAATATTGCTTAAGGCGTTTGTGTAAAAGGAAAAGAAAAAAAAAGAGAAAAGGATTGATGCTTATGGCTTGATTTTGTTGTGCGGCTTCCGCATGTCGCACGGTGGTCGACAACTACTGGACGCGAGCCCGTAGCGCGTGTGGTAGTAGCATACCTGGCTGATCGTGGTCGTGTTTTGTCGGACGGGTCTTACCACGGCGATGGCGTTCCTGGACGCGGGAGTCTCCACGCGCTGTTGCAAATCGCGTAACTACGCGATGAGGCGAGACACCGTTGTCTCGAGAGCTTCGACGCGGGCGGCGAGCGCAACGTTTTCGGACGACCTCGATGGTGAGGAACACGTGGTCGTGCTGCTGAGGTACTTTCACCATGGTACGGGGCGTGACAGCGTGGTCGGGCCTGAGCCGCCGGTTGATTGTACGGTCCGTACGTCCGCGACCTGCTTGGACCCCATGGTGCAGATGAAGCCGAAAAGCTTTGAAAAAGAATCAAAAAACTACGCTGACGGATGCGTTCGGATGAACTTCAAAGACACATACTTTCGGGACGCGGCGTCGCGTGGATGTCGCTCGTACGGACGTTGAAATCGAATTCAGAGGTCACCAATGTGGTAGGCGTGACGTTGTGTTATCAGTGGGGGCGTCGTATGTCGTCGGTGCTGTCGGGAAACAGGTTCGACCACCACTACGTCACCCATACTCACGTATTTTTCGTAAGTCGATCTGATTCCGTGTTTCTGAAGTGTTGATACGTCGTCGTACGAGGAAAGAGGTTCAATGGAAATAAATGTAAACACAATATATCGTAATGACGCGTTGCGTCGAGTATTTTATTGGTAGTCGTTCGTTACACAATAATGGCGAGATCGAGACGTTGCGAGTGAAACAGGCTCGCGGTCGTTACGCGCGTGGTCGTTCGGGTCGTAAAAAGGCGTCGAGACGGAGCTGCTCGTTGCGAGCTCGGTCGGTCGAGGTGTTGCTCGTTCGGGCGTCGTAGGCGAAGAGAGCGATGGCCGGTAGCAGGGTTGCCAGGTTTTTGATGATTAGTGTAGCCAGATTACTCTTATCAAATAGCCAACTATCGCCAATCACACATTATCAGATTAATAGCCAAATTTCTACTTTATCATATAAAAGTAGCCACAACTCACAAGCATACAAATCACAATATCATGACAAATT